CCTTTAGATAGATAATACTGGATGCTTTCGTTGAAATAAACATTGTCCTTCGCCATCACCAACATATCCGATGAACTATTTGGTTGTAACCTTAACTGATATCTGTAAAAGACAAGATAATGCGATTGAAGAACTTTAATATTTAAATTATAGGCCAAAAATTACTTCATTTTTCATTGTTACATCATTAACAAGAACAGACACAAAAATTCCTAGTGCAATTTGGATGTTAAACGAACGATTTTATTGTTTGCTCTATTTACGGTATATTTTCAGTGTATGTTTTCTGTGCAATCTGTGCTTGTATCTTATAATTCTAGTATATTAGTATCTTTGAACCTCACTGCTTTTCTTGTTGTCCTTTTTGTTACCAGAACTTTAAAATCGTCCAGCGTCGCCAATTTTAAAGTCAAGCTCCGGAGGAAAAAAAATTTGATATGTTGTAGAACTGATTTTTCTAAGACAGAAAAAAGTTGTTTGACTAAAAACTGGACGGTGAATGAGATACAGATTTTTTAATATTTAAAAACTGGGGGGAAAAGGGGCGTAACTGCCAATTTTTACACCTTATTTCCCCAGTTTTTAAATATTAAAAAATTTGTATCACATTCACCGTTCCCCAGTTTTTCGTCAAACAACTTTTTTCTGTCTTAGAAAAATCAGTTGTACAACATATCAACATTTTTTTTCCCTCCGGAGCCTGACTTTAAACGGACGTGCAGGAACTTTTGTACACATAAACTAGAGGTGATTTCCAACAAACGTTTATGGGCCCTTTTTTAAGTTGAACCCCAGGGGCCCCATACAACAAGGGACTGTACATTACTGCCATTACCACTAATATAACACGTCGCATGGATGGCGCGCGGTAGGTAACGATGTGTTCTAAGGAAGTAACGATCGTGAGTTCGAATCGCTTCCTGGTATTCAATTTAAGACATTTTAGTTTTATTTTATTTATTTTTTCTGTTAGTTGAAGTAATTAATGGCAATTATGAACCCATGATTTTAACATGTTTTAATAGTGTCAACACTTCTGAATGGTGCAAACACAAAGCGTTAAACGCTCAATAGAGGTAACCTCAGTTTAACGCGCGGACCAGTGAGTCGCTCTATGTTATTCATTGTACAAGGGAAATTTCACACTGTATATAACCCAATGATCTTAAAGTAAAATTCTTTGAATAAAACCAGGTATTTATACGTACCTTTATGAATATATTTGAATATAAATTAGTATTAATATTATAATTGACTTATAGGATTAAATTCAATTGATAGTAAACAAAAGATGAATATGATGCTAGAACATCATTCTGATCGAGTCAGCCAACACAAGCCGGGAAAGATAAATGTGATGGTCATACCATGCGGAAAAGGCATAGACCCTTAAACAAAGCTCACACTCCCCAGTCGCCTGGATTTTTTTTTGAAGCCTTCTTACATTATTTACCAACAAGGGGAGGGCGCGGGAGGCGCACGCCATTTCCCACTTGTGCCCCTACCGTTTGAAATGTGCGAACCTTATTTTGTGAGCTAGCTCCCCTCAATTTATCATCGAGCCCACACTTGTCCCTCCCCTCAGCCGCCCCCCCCCCCAAATTTCAAGACTCCTAGATACTTCACTGTCGAACCATCTCACGCGCCCTCCCGGCGCATAAACTTCCCATTTCAAAATGCTTAAGATATGCCACTGATCATTAAGGCGGTAGGGCTTGTAGCAGCATGGTGGGGATGGTTAATGGTTACCTGAATATTGTGCGTTGTTCTTGGTTGAATATTCTACAGGTTTGGCACAATAGCGACCGCTCAATTGTCTGCAAGCTGTCTTCATTGATACCACAGTACGCAGCTTCTAGAAGAATATGAGCTATCCGCTGCTCAGAATTACTGGAAGTGTAACATTAATAATTAAATTATGATAGTAGGCTTAATATACGTTTTAGAAAAAGTACTGTAGCAGTTCAAATTTTATGTTAAGTTCAAAGAAATACGTGGCGAACGGAATGCTTACATCTTATCACAAAAACCTTAGCATGTACCCACGTCAAGTGGGTGATTTGTAAAATAATCATTACGTTAAATTTAAATATTTTATTAAAAAATACTGCACAAATCGTTATTTTTAACATTAAACAAATTTCAAAACAAATTTGTCTTAACAGATACGTCATTTAGACCCTCCAACATGGCGTCGGTGGCCTCACTAAAACCAGCCAATGAGCAATCCAGATATTATAGTAGAGATCAGTGGTCTGTTGGTGGATTATCGAATGGCAGTGATCAGGCGCGTACCAGGGGTCTTGGGTCGGGAGTGGGGTGGGGGAGGTAATAATTTTCCTGCTTAATAATTTATGACCCGGTGTAATACTTCCCCCCTCCCCCGATATTTAAAAAAAACATACAATTAGGCCTACACATGTGCGTTTGAAACTAATATAAGCATTTTCACTATGGTTTTATTTATTAAAACCATATTTTTCACCATCAATACACATGCGAAGAATTGTACTGTAGTTTTTCTTTTTTCACATTTTAGAAACAATGAAACCCTTCTTATGGTAAAACGATCTATCTTAATTTTACTCTTTGAGTTAGGACTATTAGGCCCTATGTGCTTAATAATCTTGAAACCAGTGGCGTAACCAGCGAGGGGGTGGGGGCAGATGGAAAAATCACCCTTTGGAGAATCTTCAACCCCCCCCCTTTTCGTTCCCACCCCTTTCCGTTTCCCCCCTCTGTGAAAATTGAGAAAGGGGAAATGGAAAGAAGATGCCCTTTTCACCCCTGAAAGTGCCTAAAAAATATCCAATTTCGCGCGCTTAATGCGCATTTCTTGTCACCATGTTAGATTAGTCCCATTTTCACTAAACATTGCAGATTTATTTTTAGGAGTTTTCAGGATTTTTGATCAATTCAGAGCAAAACCACAATGCGATGTACGTCTTCCCGAAGCCTGTGTATCTCATCATCCGACATGTATCACTCACAACTATTTCGCTCTAACTCTGTGTGGACATTCTTTAAAGTGGAGAAGGGAGTGCTGGTTGTTATGATAACTGATCATATGATATCTTCCTTTTTAGTCTTGTCTTTATGTTTTTTCTTCTCTTTTCCTTTTTTCTTTCATTTCCACCTTCTTTCTCTTCCCTCCCTCTCCCTGTCTCTTTATTTCCTCTTACCCAGCCCGGTAGGACGGCTTGGTCAGCCCGGTAAAATCCCTCAAAGGGAGGGGGGGGGGTGGAGAAAGTCTGCTCCCCTGTCCCCGCCTGTTATGTCACTGCCAGTGATTGAACGTACTGGTGTTCGCCTATACGCCGCGCACAAGTTCACACCACTCGATTAACGTTACGGTACGCTAGCGTAACCCGTTGTGTCTGAACAAAGCCAAAAACTACTATACCATACACACACCATAGGTTATGTCGACTGACCTTAATTGACCACGGATAAGGTCATGGGCAGGTCAAACCACGAACTGGCTTATTCCATCTGCCCTTTGTATGTTTTGATGCTCATATTTATTGATTTTCATCATTTATCTTGACTTTTGTGGTGGTTATCGAAATTGAATTCAATTTATTCAAGAATTCTGGATCGGAAAAGTTGTTAATTCTATTGTATATTCTGATATCAATTTTATTGATTTTTTAAATCGTTTTTTATTTTCTGTATATTAAATATTTAGCTTTATATTAAATTGTATATGTTCTCCTATCTTATTGAATCCAATTTGAAAATTTGAAATAAACAAAATTATTTGCTGGCAATTTAAAAGAATTTCTGTCATTTGAAAATGTCCTCCTGAAGTTATAGTTAAAGGCGTAGGAATATACAATATTTTAGAGCATAAGAAAGTATAATACATACTCCAAGTATTGAAATCCACGCCATCGTGTTGGGATTCAATATTTCGACATTAATTATGTCATCATCAGGAATGAAAAAATTATCCATATTAGCAAGCTTATATG